ATATCGCATCACTTTAGAAATTTACGCTAAATACATGTACTAAATACTAAACAAGTGCACATATCGTATTCATTTACAGCATCGGATTTTAAAACAATGACTTGTGGAATCACAAAGAAACTGTTAAGTACGTATTTCACACATTACCGAGGACCGCGGTAGAGACCGGTACAGCGGTAGAGACCCCTAATTATAAGCAGTCCGCGGCTCTCCCCGGCGTTCTGCGGTGCACCGCCCGTTTGATTTCCTACTCTTCTCTAAATTAAAATCTTTTACAGTAGACAGAAACAAAGATGGCAGACTATGTGCTTTAGAAGAAACAAGAATAGTACTATAAATAATTTGCTGGGATTAATTTTTGATTTATTTTTTACTGATTTTTGATGAGTTGATTGAAAAAGAAAAATTTCAAGCTAAAAATAAAGTATTTTACAGTAATATTCCAAATACTTACTAAGTCTGTGTCTTGACAATGGAGATAGAGGTAGTATATCGTAACGTACTGTCTGGTGCTGGATTATCTACAGAAATAAAATTAAAATTAAATAGTGAATACAAATTAGGATAACGAATACAAAAGCCTGATATTTAATTACAACAGCAAAACACAAATTATTGCTAATGGAGTTTTAAATTAAAGTGTTGACAATTGTTTCAATCTATTTGTCTTTAATATGGATTAAGCTTCCATCAAGATAATTATTAATGTCAACAATTTGTTTAAAAACTAGTGATTAGAAATTTTTGAAAGATAAACTGAACAGGTCAATGTCAAAGCACAGTTTATGTATTATTACTGAGGTCTAAGCATTCACAACATATTCATGGCGGTCGGTATCTACGCTGTATTATATAAATTTAAAGGACGGCAGTCGTCGTGCCGCGTCAAGTTCGATATGGGACTCATAGCAACGTATACAAGGCGTGTAAAATACATTGTTTATTTACATGAAATTCGAACACGCGCTGCACGACGACCACCGCGCTTTAATTACCAGTATTCAGAAAAGTCAAACAATGATCAAAGACCAGGTTTTTTGATCAGACAGTCAAATTTGGGGCATTTTGGAGAGAAACCATGACCCCGAAAAAGAGAAAAGACTTTATGCATGACCCCTAAAGGTAACACATCCTGTAATGTCTAGCTATAAGGCCAAAACAAAATTTGTTTTGTTGCCCTCAGCGACCGACCGAAAAATATGAAATATCGTGTCTCGTTTTTTTTTTTCCATATACCTCAGCTATTTACGATAACCTTAGTTTTCACAAGTTTATATAAAAAAAAAAAATCCGACCAACACAATTTTTCAATTTTCCAACTTGAGGGCAACATAAGTTGTTTTGTTTTTTTGGCCTAACAGCAATATTAAATGCATCAATTCTGTCATATTTGTAAACTTGAAAGCCAACAGTTTGCATTTTTGTGGGAAAATAATAAAGAAATGTTTATTGATAACAAATTTGTACCCCAGATCAATCCAAGATAGTTTGAGAAAAACAATTGTCTTCAGTAATTCAAGTTTGTCATTGTCAAATCTCTAATGGTAATTATTACAAAATAGTTGGTATAAACAATAACAAGTAGATATTATAATTTTATACATTTATTGATAGTATTAGCTCTCTTGTTAGTCGTTAATTTTTTTTTTTTTAAATCACTGCCATTAAAAGCTACTATACTATGTTCATATACAATTATTTCAGTAACAGTTGGTGACCAGACAAGCTAAGTGAACATCAGTCTATGAAAGTTCCACTGACTGTGGCATAATGTGTGACGCACTCTGTCCCCAGATCATTTCAAGTACACTTTGATTTCACAGAAAAACTAAGTAAATGAATAAATACTGTAAAATTCTTTTTTTTTTGCTTGGAATTAATTTTGCTGAAGGAATGATTCAGTGGAAATACAATCCAGCAAATATACTTTTTCCTATATTTTACATTCAGCTCAGTGAAAATAAATTAATTCAATCTAAAATAAAGTATTTTACAGTAGACCTTTGATGCAAATGGCTGTAATGATCTCGCTGAGAACGAAAGAGCGACAAGACTTGTTTTCACCCCTCAAATAGTGTTCCATTCTCTCCAGATATCACATCCTGACTTATGTAACCATGGCAATTTGAACAGTAGATTTGATGATGGGGGAGGATGGGAGTCAATTTGAGAGGCAAAACAAGTTTCATGGATGTCTTGCTAAATGAGATCTCAGCGGCCATTTTCTTAACTCTATGCAAAATGAGCATTTTTTTGCTGGGAAGAAAACTGCAGACGTCAATAGAAAATCAGAATAATGAGGTTCAAAGGGTCTGCTGAGTTTGTTTTGCTGTGAAGACTGTAGATATATATTCAAAGGCTATAGTACCACTGTTTTTTTTTTTTTAAATTATTTAAAAAACAATCCTATTAATAGAAAGAAATGAAAAATTCAATTTTAATTGTGAATGTATTTATGTACTTTTATTGATCAAATAAAGTGGTAAGATCGAATGAAAAACCTATACTGGTATATTGTTTACTTGTTGCCATAGAAACTTTTAATTTATTTATCCATATTCATAATTGGATACAATACACAAGAGAGTACTGAATATTGGGTTTTCTAATAAAAGATAAAACAGAATTTTTTTGTGTAAATTTTTAGTTGTCCTTTTGGGCTTCTACAGTAAAGCTTGAATATTCTAAAAGCATGGTGGCTAATTTGCATAATTTTTAGCATTTCTGTCTTTTACTGTTTGATTAACCATGGTGTAATGAAGAAGCAAAATTGTTCAATTTATTACAAATGCAATGATTGTTACAATATTACCAGTCATTGATACTGTAGACTAGTAGGTACAGGTAAACTATGATCGCTGAGTACATGGCTATTCACAGATTCAGGGGTCAACATGAATTTAAGAGTTAGATCTACAAAAATGAATAATTTAAATAGAATAATTTGATTAGAAAAAAATATCTGGTTTAATAATATTTTAAAAAGTTAAAATCAAATTACTTTATTATTAATGCTCAAAATTTCGCAGAAGAAATGAAATGGTGGTTAAAACCTTTGTCTCAGCTACAAGAAAAATACAACTTAGCAGAGATACATACACGGACCATTCAAGTTATATTTTTGATGTACCTGGGGAGTCATGATCAAACTCTAAAGTTCAAAGTTTTATTTGCAATGACAAGATAGTTATTGATTTCACAAAGTGAGAAAAAACATCGATATCAACTTAACCTTGAATCTTGACATATATGTATAGTTGAATTTGATGTGTTTCTGAGAAAAAAAATATCTCTGTTTCTCGTTTCCACGCGCATCATTTTGAACTATGCATCTAGGATGTTTTTTTTTTTTCTAAAGCATTCCAAAATGCGCTTGTACTCGCACTTGTCTCAAATTTCTCCCATTTTAGCTCAGTATTCAAAAAAAAAATTTAAAATTTCTATGAAACGAGAAACAGAAAATATTTTTTTCTTGGCCTAAGACAGACAATGACTTTTCATGAAGTTGGTCGCTGTGAAATCTCAAAAAACTATTTAGCAACTTGAAGAAAAAAAATAACTTAACAACTTCGCCTTTATAAGCTACTGTACATTTCACCGATAAGACACAGTTACAGGTCAGAGGTCAACAGTAAAGATATCCACAAAGAAAATATGAACGATTTTGACCCTAATGACTAGGGGTCAAACATGAATACCATATTTTCTCTATTACAAGTGCATCTCCTATTGTTCTATTAGAAGGGCATCTCAAACAAAAGCAAATATAAACCAAACAACTTTTTTATTGTACAATGTATAACTGAATAATTATTATTATTATTATTTATTTTGACTTTACAACACTTTTGTAATTTATGTAAGTGAATACACTACTAATAGAAAAAATACAGTATTCATATCAGTGTTTTCTGTCAACAAATTAACTTAAATTTGCTCCCAATGTCAACTGAAGATTTTGTATCAGTGGACAGTTACGCTGTGTGTATGTGCACATACGCAGTGACTGGTTGAAAGGAACTGGTTGTTCATCCCCAAAAATAAAACATTTTTGCTGTTCCCTCCTACTGTTATTAATAAGATATATACTGTGGAATACTTTATTTTCGCTGGAATTAGTTTTCGCTGATTTTTGACGAGTTTAATGTGAAATATAGGAAAAAAAGTATATTTGCTGGATTTTATTTTCACAGAATCATCCCTTCAGCGAAAATAGCGAAAATAAATTCCTAGCGAAATTAAAGAATTCTACAGTATGTGATTCTGTTAATAAAACAACTGATGACATTTTTTCAAGGCATGCAGTTTGCCGAAAAATAAAAAGAAATGATGTCACTATGCGATCGCCTATAAACACACTTCAAATCCATATGTAGGCTATAGACTGTTTAAAGACCCCACCTGAATGCCTAGAACTTCTAGACAATTTACTACACAGTTTCAATTGGTCTAAAAGCAATTTTTTAGAGATTTTTGCTTTGAAGTATGGTGTCCTCACAATACTGAAGTTCAAGCCTTGGATACAAATTTTCAACCCCTTGCGTACTAAAGTAAATCAACAAAGAAATTATAGAAAAATACATAAAAATAAACAGCATGTCACATTGCATAAAACTTTTGGCGGAAAATAATTTTTTTTATTGCTGTATTCAAAAGGTTAATGAACTCAAAACGCAAATGGTCATCAAGGTCTTGTTGAGAGACGGTGACCGACTTGTTTAAAGCAAGAGGGAGTCGTCACCTGCGAATGTGACAGACAGCAATGAAAAGTCAAGACTCATGCCACAAAATCCTTTCAAATTGAAATCATCTATTATCTAGACTTTACAAATGCATTGCGAATGATTTTAAATGTCAACAAGTCATAAGAGGTCAATTGATCACTGGATTGCTTGGCATTAGAACCAAGATATTCCAGAGTATAAAATTAATTAAATAGAGGAAACTTGATCACTAATCTCTCTATCAAGTGACAACTCTACCAGGTACTATCATTCCGTAGTAAATAATAGCCGGAGAGGTTAACCAGGGTCATATACACTACCCCAGTTCATACTTGTATACTTATGCTATATTTAAGCCAAAATAAATTAAAAAAAACAAACATTTTTAATCATTTCATCTATGGGAGGGGAATTGGTGGGACTAAATTACTAGTACTTTATTTAGCTTAGTTTTTGCTTTAATTGTATTAATTCTAGTAATTGTTTTTAACATCTATTTTTAACTCTTTATTTTAAGTCTTTATTTTATTTTTATTTTCTAGTATTGTAATGTATTGTATTTAGAATTGATCTAGAATTGATTTAGAATTGACCTGCTGATGGTTCAGTATTGTAATAAAGTTATTATTATATGCATGTGAAATCGAATATGCAGAAACTTTTATTTGTTTTGAATCATTACACAATTATGGGCATAGTGACAACTGAGAGCTTAAAGACGGATGCTGCATCTCTTTTATGTTTTTTCTTAAATTTGTTATCTGGATAAAATACACACTAGATGTACAGGTGTAATAATTGGGTCAACCTGCACTATATCCCCACATAGCCGTTGTTTACTTTGAAAAGTTACAAAAACAGACATTGACATCATCAGTCAAAATAGGAGTTGCAAACTGACAGGTAGAGAATGAGTGACCTCTTTAAATGCATTAATATAATTAGTTTTTATTCTTTTACTATTAGAGCCTTGTATATCAGGTAGACAGGGACTAATAAACTGTAAAATGCTATTTCAACCAGAATTAATTATCACCAATAAGGCATTTCTACTGTTTTGTATGAATTTTATTTTCACTGATTCTTGATGAGTTGAATGCAAAATATAGGGAAAAGGGTATTTTTTTTTCACTAGATTATATTTTCAGCAATTCATTCTTGCAGTGAAAATTAAGTACTTCAGAGACTATAGAGTCTATGATCAAATCTACAATTGATTCATACTATTTTAAATACAGCACCTACATAGCAGCATAGCTAGAGGGGGCAGGTTTATCGAATGTAACAGAATGTAACCCAAGCAGATCAACTGATTTTCAAAATTTAACTACGTTTACATATACAAGACTTTTCGAAAATCAATGGAAGGGCTCAAAATATAATTACCAAATGGGTGGGCTTTATCACATGAAATTTACATGAATTTAGTCATATAATTTGTATTAAAAATTGATGTGATTCTGTGGAAGTATGCAGTGTGAATATTCGGTGGGCGGGCCAAGCAAACAAAACACCTTGTAAAAAAAAATAGTTCACCGGTATATGTCATATTTTGTTTTCACTATTTAAATTAGTCTGAAGTTATATACGTTTTGCTCATCTAATTAAGTGCCGTTCAAATACCAAAGTTCAGAACAGCAAGGGGATATAATAAATACCTTACTCACATGGTTAACAGCAACATACTACAAAATAAACCATTTGCGGATAAGAGTTGAATGAATATCATAAGCAGTCAAATTTTAGCTACATTTAATTACAATTGGAATCCTCATGAGAAAGACTCTAATCAAATTAAAACTTGGTGTACTTATTTGCTTCATGAAAACAACAGTCATGGTGTACCTTGAGGGTCATTATCAATGCCAATCAGTTCAAGGTCTTAAATATCTATGTCAAAACCTTTTCATGTGATTACTTTTTGAAAACATGCATGTTGGCAGTAATGGTTGTGCAAGGTTGGGTGTGTTTTGATGATTGAATAGATTTTTTTGACTAAAGCATTTGATTCGATCAAGTACATGTACAGACAATAAGTCAACAGCACAATATATATTCTTTCAACAACAGGTACAGACAAAATGAGGTTGGTCCAAATTTAAATTTGGAAAATAACATGCGCTAGGCCTTTAAAGGGAGTTCAGGTTCTAGTCAAGTTTTCCATACAATGAACATATGGAGAAATGCAGTACTGGGGAAAGCAACTATAAAACAATAACATTTAGCTATTTATTTTGGAAACGCTCTGAAATATTATTTGAAGTGTTTCTTTTTTAAAACAAAACAAAAACATTAAAGGTACAAATGTACTTCATCTTAATGACAATGAACAAAATTATTGAAAAAATTTGTGGCAAAACAGAATTTTAAACTGAATATCTATACCAAACCACTGTACGTAAAATGACAACAAATTCCCTGTCCCATTGACAAAAAACAATACACACACATACCAGAATTAGATCAAACACCAAATGCTTTTGTTCACAATAGTACTTGGATATTACCGGTATAAATATAAGTCAATGGCATTCATTCAAGGAATTAGACAGGTTGTCCGTAACAAGTAAATGATGGGTCAGCATATTTTTCCCACGACTTTTATGAACTTTTACTGTTGATGACATTGCATATTATAATTCACAGACAAACAGTCCTAGTTCTATTTGACATATCCGCAAAGTTGCAAGGACATGCCATGTTTATGCTGATCCACAGGTTAGAGTTGAGGGAAATCTAGGTCATCAATATTTGTTTAACTCACATGTATTTCTGGAACAAACGAACAGGTGGTTCATAATTATGGGGTCAGTCCAAAAATGCATGAAATAATTTGTCTTAATTAAACAATTATTGTATTTATTTATTTATTAATTAACTAATTGATTAATTAATTCAAGTTTGAAGTGGGTTATCAGATTAATGAAAAGATGTATATGAATACAGAATACTGGAAAGTAAAAGACTATATTAAACATTGTCCCTGAACTGAGAGTCTGGACAATTAATTGTTTTAGAATATCATAACAGTCACAATAGTACAAAAGTACCCAGCCAATTCAATTTCATATCATATATACATAATTTATTTTGAATACAATTGATAGACCTTGTTTGATATTTTTGTGAGTGACTCACGGTAATTTTCACGGTCATAATACACAGCAGAGAAGGGTGATGCAGACGAAGCAATCACATGATGGAGAATTACAAGGGCATGTGACCTCAATAAAAAATTGTGTACACATGCCCATTGTGAATATGGCATTTAGTCAGTCAGAGGCGATAGGTTTTCAATATTGATATAAAATGCTATGGTTACAGTATATTTTAATATCTTTTCCAAAAATCAACAGTTTTTGATGGTTTAAAAAAACAGGTATGGTATGTATATTAATAGTACATTGCATGTTTACTACTGGAAATGAACATTACACATTGAATAAATATTGTTGGCAATTTTCCAATGGTGACCTGACATACATTGTGCTCATAGGAAACACAAAAACACTTTCATAAGTGACACAGAGTCAGTTTCTATTTTAAAGGTATAAAGACTATGGCTCCCCTTTTCAAGTTTTGAATTGTTTTTATAATCAGTATTTTATCAACAAAGGGGCAGAAAAAATTAACATCTGTTTTGGTCACTGAGTAAACACTACAAAATGATCTAATGTGAATTTAGAGTTAATATGCAAAGTAGTGTTTCTATCTTGTGAATAGAAAATAATGACATCATCAGTAATTTAAATATCCATTTCTTTTCAAGGGAATTCCTTAAAGAAACTGATCGAAACAAATATTTCACAGAATAACGAAACGCGACAAAGCAGTGACAAATCATTGTTAGTTTTAAAAAACGAATGAGCGATGCGTAACACAAGAACCGTCTGACACGTCTTTGTTTTGATCAAGTGGGCAGGGCAATGGGTACACATGACGAACACATGGGGGTAAAGGAACGGGCTGTGGATCGACCAACCCCTTGATCACAAAAAAAAACTACTTTCAGGTTGTGTCAATGTTTAAGGCAGCTAAAAATATGCAGTGTAGTGCTGAATTCTACTATAAACACGTACAACGATTGCAGACACATTTGCCAGCAACGGTCTTTGACCAAATCAAGTTGGCACGAGGTATTTTAAAAGTAATTCGATAGGGCGAAAAAGTAATAACCATGCCCCTTACCGTTCTAATGTTTTTCCGGAGAAGGTAACATAGAAAACTCCATAATTTTGCAGCTAATAAAATAATCGTTCTAAAGCCCATCAGAATGAATGTTGGCATCAGATACAGGTGGTGTATATCCAACGATGAGTGTAAAGATTAGATTACGCAAAACGCGGAATTCGGCACAGTTCTCGTCGGTTTTCGAACCCCTTGAAATGTACATCTAAAACACAGTAGCCGCCATTGTTTTCCCACATTGCATTGCTATCGAGAAGCCATTCACACGAATCTGTTTGTTTAACAAAAGAAAGAGTATAAAAAAAGAAAACAAAAAAAACTTGTCTTTGCAATCCGGGTAAGATGCAGGTTCAAACTTGAAAAAAACAAAACTAATCATGATGAAAATACAGCAAACAAATACAAATGTGGAGATTATTAAAAAAAATCCATCATTGAAAAAAATATTCACCACAAAGCACAATATTTGCTGAAACATTTTGATATTCATATTTATGTCTGACTTCTACTTGATACTTGGATCTTTCCAGGTTTAATGCCTTACAATCTCACGTACGTCTAGTTTCTGATACACCGGGGAAACAAAAAGCTGAGTTTGAATGTCTCTATTTCCCACAATTCCAAACACTCAAAATGGCGTCCAGTGGAAACGAAGAGCGCAACGGGACAACCACCTATGATCAAACATGTTTCTACAATTTATAAACAGTCAAAGGTAAGAGCGTTTTTAGAAATTCTATCGGTTTGAGCATTGTTTATGTTTCTTTTGTCGTTGTTGGTTTGCAAAATTTAAAGAGACGTCGTGATTGGTCATATGAGTAAAGATCGCTGCGTCAAGATTTGAAGCTTTACTTTCAAGGGAAAGTTACCGCTGTAGTGATTTGATTTTATGGGTGTGTGCGATTGCACTCATTCGAATTTGATGTCGGGTTACTACTGCTAGTTACTACTTCGCGGGAAGCCGATGCAACTATGCATGTCACTTATTGACTTGAGTATCCAACTTCCTGTTTTGAAACACACAAACAAATCATGACATACATGTACTGTGAGTGTAAACATCAAATGTTTACTAGTATTTAATTCGCGATTTTCGCCCTAAGTAAAATCTACATGTGAAAAGCAATAAAACTCATTGTTTCTCTGCTAACACGATCCGTGGTACATCATGGCCATTTCACAATATAATCTCATCCTTACAATTTAATTAAATGAAAATTTAGTATATTAGTCTTATTTTTGACTCGTTGTTAACATAACTCTGTACTATGGTATTGGTGATATATGAATTGGGTGCCATAGGATGGTACTTGATGGCCAACCAACCTAATCAAATATGTATTTTGTATTGTACGAGTGCAAAATAAGTTATTAGGAAATTAGGATATTAGTACCAGCTGTTTTATATGCATGCGCATTGGCCGATCCTGTCAAATCTCGTCATCTGTTTTGGGCTTGTCTGGTCGATGTGAAATTGCTTCAGCCATTGGGTAACGGAATTAACTGATGTCTGTGTGAAAACTGCTGTAAAGTGGCTTTAAAATAAATTTGCGCGTTTTTTGCGTTTTGCATTTTCTGAATGATACGGAGAAGCAACGGAAGCCAACCATTTAATTGATAAAAATCTCGCCAGAATATGATTTTAAATGGCCGAACTAATAGAGGAATCAGTCTTGTATTGGAAAGCATGTTTCCGGGAAGGAGAGGTATCGAGGTGGCGTGGCGTGGTGAGTAGATTTCCTCCCCAGAACACCGAGTTGGGCGTCGTTACCGAGAGGGAGGTGGTGAATATGTTGTCGAGCGACCAACATAGTAAACCAAACTTAGAACTCGCGATACTGGTGCAGACGACCATGGTTGAATAACCATGAAAAATAAATGGCGAATGTGCCACCATCCAATGGCGGGATGTGCAGCTTTCTTTGTGCACAATCAGCGTCGATTTCATTAGAGAAACACGACGCACTTACCAGAGCCAGACCGTCTGGTGGTGCCCTACTATTTCATCATTAACCAAATATACTATTATCCTGTTCCCAAAATAGATATTTGTTTATTTGGAGTAATTTCCAATTCTACGCCAGATCCTTAGTAATTATTGATTCCACGTATGTATTTGGCCGTTATTTGACAGACGTAAAATGCCATAATGTTAATTCGCGGAAATTTAAACACACTGATACTGATAATGAATTAAAAATTTGCCAAAAAATACTAAATTTGCTATCCCATGGAAATAATTGAAATATAAAATATTTGGCAATATATTAATTAAGTTTTGCGTCGCATGCACACAGTTGAAATATCTAATAAAATGGGCCTAATATACTAATGTTGTATTTATTTAATTGTAAGAACGAGTTTACATCCTGGAATGGCCACGATGTACCACAGATCTAACACCTATGTTGTCAAAACCTAGTGAAATTGCTCAATACAAAAAAATAGTAAAATTAAATGGTTTTATAGTATAGCAAGGCTTCTAGTAGTATTAAATGTGTTATTACCAACCAGTCTGAGTACTGTAAAATACTCTGCTCGAAATCCAACCTATATACTTTTTCCTATATTTCACTTTCAACTCATCAAAAATCATAAATTCCATACAAAACACTCAAAAAGCCTTTTCAGCGAAAATTAATTCCAGCTAAAAATAAAATATTTTACAGTAGATGCGTAACCTAAACCCGGAAATAGCTTGTTAATCGATCCAGTACACAAACTTCTTTGATTAATGCAAAACACTAGAATTGGACACAATGTAATCACAATATAGCAAATACAAAATGTAATCAATAATTGTGTTCACGTTACACGAAGTACGGGCTAAGATTTGAGCTGATTTAGGCTTATCTAACATATTTGCATTTCGACTCGACCCAATTGCGTCCATGCACAGGGAGGGCCAGTTGTTAACACGGGCTAAGGGGTGCCATCAGTCGGTGACCTTTGGCAAGCCGCTATTTATGAACAAAAAATGGACGATACGCGCGAGGTTCTATTTCTGCTGCTGACATGTTTCGTTTTGAAGCGACATGCACAGGAACGCGAGAGAAGACGGACTCAACTTATTTGAATGCACAGAAACAGTATACAACGACATATCAGAATACAGAGTTTTATTAATGCATGTCGTAGACAGCAAACCATATTTATTTTGTCTACACCCAAAGGTCGCCGCATAGGGTGCTTAGCCCTGGGCTAA